ATTTAAGTTAAACTTTTTACATTGATGTTCATAAATAATTTTTGGCCATCATTTTCTCTCATTCTGCAGCTCATCAGGATTTTCTGTCAATGATGTGCTTATTTTAAAACTTGAATTTTTTCCCTCATTCTAAAGGCCTATGTATACTTGAAATAAAAATTTCACACAATTTCTCTGTGAAATTCTCTCATCTTTTCATTTTTGAAGAGGCAGGTCTTCTGCCATTCTGTATTTCATACACAAAAACTTATGTCTTAAATATTCTATTAATTTTTCTAAAATAGTCCATACCATTGGCATTTTGTGTTGATTTATTACATTATTTTACAGTTATTCTGACTCACTTTCTGCAGTATATGCATATCAATTCCTTCTTGCTACTTTCATACAATTGATCTTTTCCTAACTTGTAAATCAGAAGCTTAATTCAGTTAATTTTATTCTTTGAATGTGATGGAGAAAATAATTAAGGCTACAGCTTTTCCTCAGCATTATTCTAAATGAATCACATCTATTCCTTTTTCTATGTTATTGTTTTAAATTTAAAAACACTCTAGTAATTCTTATTCTATTCCAAGCATTGGTATTAACAAATTACATATATTAACTCATAGAACTGCCAATTAAACACCCGAGGTAGGTGCTATCTCCATTTTACACTGAGGAAACTGAGTCATAAAGTTACGTAATTTTCAAGGTCACACAAGCTGGTAAGAGAAGCTGGAATTCAGAATCAGGCTATCTTGTTCCACAGTTCATATTCTCAACAGATATTTATTGTTTTGTGGAAATTTGGCTTTTATGATTTGCACTTCCCTCAAATCTGAGATCCATTCAATAAAAAAATTTTAACCTGTCAGGAAAAGGACCTGTACGTTTTCTGACTTTCAAAAATATTTCAAATTTTATTGCACAATAATTCAGAATGTTTGAATTTTCTTCACTTTGTTTAAAGAAAACATGGATATTTTCTATTCACCCTGATATAATGTCATATTTTGTAATTGATTCTTTGGCAGGATAGGTTGTCAAGGACGTGACCATATTTTTGGGATGCAGTGACCTTGGTGACCCTACAGCCAATACGATAAGCTTAGCATTCATATTGTAACTGAACTCACTCGAGCAAAGATATCTTTAGTAGGGACTTTCCCTTTTAGAGAGCATGCTCATTTTTGATTTTACCTGTCGTCAAACTGATCTTTTGCTCATTACAGTAGTAAAAAACATACCCCTGGGTGGAGATTTAAGATGCTAATGAGGCATGGGATGTATGAATAAGCAGGTGCACCTACTGTGCATGTTCATCCAGAAGACCACCAGTACATGCTTAGTAGTAACACCTGTTACCACCTCCTTATGAATAACTATGTAAAACTCCCATGATGGGGGTTGCTCCTGCAATAATCAATGCCATCTCTCTGCAACAAGCAGCCGGCCCTGAATTCTTTCCCTCTCAGTGTGTACGACATATTCTGCACCTAACTTTCCAAATATCCTTTTCCTTTGACAATAAATTACTCTATGCTGTACTTCTTTTGCTGTATGTCTCTTATTTAAATTATTTTATACTAAGAAGACAAAGACCAGAGGTATCACGACAGCTGTCAACAGCACCTGAAGAAAAGAATTTATTTTCTATCATCTCATTTGTCAATTCTACCTTATTGTTAATGTTGTCTAAGTTTTTCCTATCCTTAGGGTTCTCCATTTTTTCTGGCTTAGATGAATAGGGTGACTATACTAGTTCATTCTTTGCCACGAAGAATATCCCTGGGTAATTTATAAAGAAAAGAAGTTTATTGGCTCACAGGTCTACAGGCTTCACAGGAAGCACAGCCGTGTCTGGGTTTGGGGAGGCCCCGGGAAACCTACAATCATCATGGAAGGCAAAGGGGAAGGAGGCACATCTTTCATGGTGGGGGCAGGAGGAAGGCGGGGGTAGGCACTACACACTTTTAAACAACCAGATCTTGTGAGAACCCTATCACAAGAACAGCACTAGAGGGGTGGTGCTAAACCATTCCTGAGAAATCACCACCATGAGCCAATCAGCTGCCACCAGACCATACCTCTAAAACAGGATTTGTATTCTACCTGAGATTTGAGTGAGGACACATATCCAAACCATATCAATCCTCCCCTGGCTGCCTCCTAAATCTCATGCCCTTCTCACATTGCAACATATAATCTGTCCTCCTAGACCTCCAGACCTGTGGTGGGAAGCATTGCCAGGAAGGTCTCTGATATGCCTTTGGGGTGTTTTTCCTATTATTTTTGCTATTAGTACATGCCTTCCTTGTAGTGATGTAAATTTCTGCAGCCAGCTTGAATTCCTCCCCTGAAAACATGCCTTTCCTTTTCTGCCACATGGCCCGGCTGCAAATTTCTTAAACTTCTATACTCTGCTTCCCTTTTCTTTTTTCTTTTTCTTTTTCTTTCTTTTTTTTTTTTTTTTCTTTTTGAGACGGAGTTTCGCTCTTGTTACCCAGGCTGGAGTGCAATGGCACGATCTCGGCTCACCGCAACCTCCGCCTCCTGGGTTCAGGCAATTCTCCTGCCTCAGCCTCCTGAGTAGCTCGGATTACAGGCATGTGCCACCATGCCCAGGTACTTTTTTGTATTTTTAGTAGAGATGGCGTTTCACCATGTTGACTGGAATGGTTTCGATCTCTTGACCTCGTGATCCACCCGCCTCGGCCTCCCAAAGTGCTGGGATTACAGGCATGAGCCACGGCGCCCGGCCTCTGCTTCCCTTTTCTACTCGCTTCACTGGAACTAGATGTAAGTTTCAGTTTCAAGTCATTTCTTTGTTCATGAATATGAGTATAGGCTGTTATAAGTAGAGAGGCTAGATCTTAAACTCTTTGCTGCTTAAAATTTTTTCTGCCAGATATTCTAAATCATTGCTCTCAAGCTCAAAGATCTTGAGATCTTCCACAGATCCCTAGAGCAGGGACACAGTGCAGCCAACCCCTTGACTAACGTCTAACAGATGTAAAGTTTGCTCCAGTTCCCAATAAATTCTTCTTCTCAATCTGATACCTACTCATGCTGGAATTCATTTTCCGTATCACTATAAACATTTGGATCACAATATAACAAGTGTCTAGGAAGTTCCAAATTTTCCCTCAACCTGTAGCATTCTGGACCCTCCACACTCTTCCAGCCTCTGCTGATTACTCAATTCTAAAGCTATTTTTACATTTTCAGAAATCTTTGTAGCAATGATTTTTCTGGTACCAATTTGCTGTATTAGTTCATTCTCTCATTGCTATAAAAAAAAATACCTGAGACTAGATAATTTATAAATAACAGATGTTTTATTAGGGTCATGTTTCTGAAAGCTGTACAGGAAGCATAAAAACTTCTGCTTCTGGAGAAGCCTGAGGCAATTTACAATCTTGGCAGAAGGTGAAGAAGCAGGCACATCTTATATGGCTGGGGCAGAAACAAGAGAGATGGGGGGGAGGTGCTACACACTTTTAAACAATTAGATCTTGTGAGAATTCTAATGGGAGAGCAACACCAGTGTGATGGTGCATAACAGTTCATGAGAAACTGCCCCTATGAGCCAGTCACCTCCCACCAGGCCCTAAATCCAGCATTGGGGATTTACAGTTCCACATGAGATTTAAGCAGGAACACAGATTCAAACCATGTCAGTGACTTCAATGTACCTATGTTTACTGAGTCTCTTTCTGTTTTATATAGTAAAGTCATACTTTATCAAACTTACTTCAATATTCAGGAGTGCTGCAGTTTCATTGTGAAATTTAGCCTTTTACATTAAAGAGAAGCTTTCTATGTACCTTCAGTCTTCATTCAACTTAGACTGATATTAAAATTTGTGGCTCTACTTTTTTTTTTTAATTTTTTTTTTGGTGGCTCTACTTTTATGTTTGTTCTTTGTTATTACTTTATCTCAATCACTTTTCTACATCACTTTTTTTGATACATCACTTTATGTAATTCTAATTTTAAAAACATGTATTAAAGATTTTCTTTACTTTGCAGATACACACTAGAGATTGCAAATTTAATAAACATCAATAACATTACAAAATATCTGTGGGGCCATGAATTCATGAGCAGATTCAGTTGGTGTAAAGGTCTAGTTCATGCATGAGCAGTGGATGGCAGCCTGGGGTAAAGGGCTTGCTGCAGTTGAAGGATTGTGAGAAGCCCTGAACCTCACTGGGGCTGTAGCAATGTCCAGTGGAATCCAGGGTCCGAGAACAGAGGACCAGGTGAGGTAAAAATGAAAGGCTCAGTCAGATTCTCAGCACTATCCAATGTGAGTCCAAATTACTGTGGGATCTGGACCTATAGCACAGTAAGGGAGGTATCCTGAGGGGACTTCAGCAACGAGTGCTGTCCATGGCATGTGGGCCATGATGAAGGCCACAGGCACAATGATCAGGAGTAGACAGAGAGTCCCTGAGAGGTACTACAACAACCTGTGGCAACCTTTAGGGTAGGGACTTCAGTGGCTGCTGGGAGCCCTGGTTGTCACAGTAGGAGACAGTATCTGAGGGCCTTGGAAATGTGTCAGTTATTGGAGGTAAAAAATCTTCACTGCGGAGAAGCCTAGGCCAGAATTGTGCTGAACAGGAATCTTCTCTGGTTCCTGGGGTTGGCATAAGCAGGAGTTATCACTTGACATTTGGCACCATGGGCCGGGCGCGGTGGCTCAAGCCTGGAATCCCAGCACTTTGGGAGGCTGAGGCGGGTGGATCACGAGGTCCAGAGATTGAGACCATCCTGGTCAACATGGTGAAACCCCGTCTCTACTAAAAATACAAAAAATTAGCTGGGCATGGTGGCACGTGCCTGTAATCCCAGCTACTCAGGAGGCTGAGGCAGGAGAATTGCCTGAACCCAGGAGGGCGGAGGTTGCGGTGAGCCGAGATCGCACCATTGCACTCCAGCCTGGGTAACAAGAGCGAAACTCCGTCTCAAAAAAAAAAAAAAAAAAAAAAGACATTTGGCACCGTATTTCATAGCCATGGGTCCAGAGGAGTGATCATGGTTTGGAGGAAAATGTCTCCAAAGTCAGTGGCATATCTCTGTCTGGCTTTAGGCCCAGCAGATGAGTCAGGGGCCCAGGAAATTCTGGAAAACGTAGTTGGGAACAGAACCCTAGAGGCATAAGAATGTTCCATTGCTACAACCTTGGCCACGTTCAGCACAGTTTTCTGGTCCCCACCCGTGTCCCTGGGGAACTTAATCAAAGGCACAGTGACATTGGGAGGAGCGATGAGAACATCAGGGAGATTACTAACAATGCTGTCAAGGGACGCCAGGCACGGGCCAGGGTGCATCGGTTCATCAGGATCCAGCGGGGGCCCCAAGGGTTGAAGATCAGAGGCACAGCAGCAGCCAGAAGGCTTGGCAAGATGCAGAAGGCCCCTGCTCGAAGATGTGGGTTTGCCCATCAAAGTTTCATCAGCATACTGGAAGTGAGGTTTGCAGCCTTGAACTCTGCTCCATGTCTCCAGTGAGAGGTGCCCATTGGCTGCAGACTGAACAGTTGTCTCCTCAGTCCCCAGTTCTCGAGGACGACGACCACGACCACGACCACGACGACGACCACGACCTCGACCTCGACCTCGACCTCGACCTCGACCTCGATCAAGACCAAGACCTCGACCTCGATCAAGACCAAGACCTCGACCTCGATCAAGACCACGACCTCGACCTCGACCAAAACCGCGGCCACGGCCACGGTGCCTTCCAGTGGAAGCACGAAAAACCCAGGCTGACATTCCAAGGGTTTGGATTTCAGATTCTGGCACAGCATCGGTGCCAAGGCCCTTGGGGTTGTAACAGAGCCCTGCAGGCACAGTCTGTGTGGGACGGCTGGCTATGTGGTTAGGGAGCTGCCTCAGGCCCAGAGCAGCTCTCCTAAGTGCTCTATCCTCCCTCCAGGTGCTCTCTTCCTGGATTTCTGCAACCTTGGGCTCCATGTAATCCACAAAGGCTGAACCTTGCCTGTGTTTCCAGAGCCCATAGCACTCAGGTTGCAGGATGCGCACGAAGGCGTCCATGGAAAAGGTCACCCTCGCCTCCCCACAGCTACACTGAGAGGCCACTTTGCCATAATCAATCCATCGTGGAGTGGCAAAGTTGATGGCCTCTGCACAGTTGAAGCCATGGTTGAAGCCTGCATGATAGCCATAGGGAAAGGTCACCATAAACTCCCCAGCCTCCTGAGTCATGCAATTGAACGGAATCCCGTTCTCTTTGAGAACGGCAGGGGAGATGAGGGCCACCTTGTGGCGCAGGAAGGCCTCACAGCCCCGGGAAATGGCTGGGAAAAGCTCACTGGCCAGGCGCTCCAGGCGCTGGCCATGTTCTGGGGGCACTGCGTACCATGTTTTGGGCTCCCCGAAGTGCAGGTAGTTGATGCTGTAAAGGTCCATGTCCTCCGTGTGCCAAGCGAACGTGGTCTTCCACATGCCAAAGTACAGGTAGGGGGTGTTGACGCCCTCGATGACAACCCCACATTCCTGCTCCAGCAGGTCCAGAATTGTTCCCAGGTGTCCTAGGTTCCACTGTGTAGTGTTTTCTTCAAATAAGGAGCCATTAATATCAGCACCATAAATTGGTGAATTACTGGGGTGGCTCTTCCAGTATTGTTGCTCCAAATCTTCAAAATTCCGGTGTGGTGGAGTCTGATATTTCTTACTGTTTGCCAAATGGCGATACTTCCCAACCGTCATGGCCTTCTTCTTTTTATGGTATTGAGTAAACACACCTCCCTGCCCAGAGGTCACCTGCTGGAGGGGAGTGGTGACTAAGATGTCTTCAATATCATCATAGGTCTTTCTGGCTTTCCATTCCTTGGGTGGAATTACCTTGGCGAGGCCAGCTTGGTGTGCGCCTCGGGACTCCATGTAAGCAACATATTTGTTGAAATCTGTAAATTCTTCCATGGTTGGGTAAAAAGTCATGATGGCACAGCTTGTGTTCTGGGGAACAGAGTTCACAGACTTCATGGCTGCACACGAGAAACAGCTGACTCACAAGTTCTTAGGTGTCCTCTGAGTGCTGGGGAATAATGTCTTCCTCTCCTTTTCTTTTTCAAAATGCTATGGTTTATTTGTGAGGCTCCACCTGCAGCCCTGTGAGTTTCCTCAATCGGAGGTATCACTGTGAGGTTTCTCCTGACTTTCAGGCTTGGCTGTATAAGAAGCTGCTAACGCCACCGTACCTGGGTGTCTCTTCCAGGAAGTCAAAACAATAAACTTGAACAACAAAAAATACAGAATATTTGAAAATACATTTATAATGAGACAAAAGAAATACTCAGCTAGTATTAAGCTAAACTAAAGGTTATACTGTGTTAACATCAGGATATAAGGTCAAATAACAAAACAGATAAAGAGCAGCATCTAATCAAACTAAGAGGGAAAATGATCATGTTTGCAAAGGAATGAATTAAAGACTCCATTCAAGAAACTGGATACATTAACATCCAATGAAACAATGACAGTAAAGACACGAGCAGCAACCATTGCAAAAGGAAACAGAACCCCCAATAGGAATGGTGATAAAAACTAAAGCTTGACTTTTCAAAAAGATTATGGTGAGAAGCAAAAAATCATAGGCATGAAGAGAAAAGAAAATACAAATGAAATGCATTGACGAAACCTAGGAGGCATAGCTAAAAATCTGGCAGAGATGTTTTAAAATTTTTAACTGAATCTTATGAACAACTTGTGGGATAATAATTTTCTCAGTAAGACAAATACTGAAAAGAGTTCCAGCAGAGAAATAAAATGACCTACCTTCCACCAAAATCTCACAATTTCTGATGAAAATACTCCAGGACCCAGAGAGAAGGTTTCCTCTTGGTAGCTGAACTCCAAGTGAAGCCCCAGGTTGCAAAGACCCTGGTTTTATACCTCCATGGCATCCTAACCCAATCAGTCCCCAGCCAATGTAATAATGGGGCTGGGTGCAGATTAGGCATCCCACCCATCCATGCCCCTCCCTTTTATTTTACCTTTAAATCAATCCTAGAACAATGCTAAGTAATTAAAAGTCAAACTGCTCAGGCGAGGTGGCTCACACCTGTAATCCCAGCACTTTGGGAGGCCGAGGTGGGTGGATCACAAGGTCAGGAGATTGAGACCATCCTGGCTAACATGGTGAAACCCCTTTTCTACTAAAAATACAAAAATCAGCTGGCCGGTGACACATGCCTGTAATCCGAGCTACTCGGGAGTCTGAGGCAGGAGAATCACTTGAACCTGGGAGGGGGAGGGGGAGGTTTCAGTGAGCCAAGAACACACCACTGCACTCCAGCCTGGCGACAGAGGGAGACTCCGTCTCTACTAGTGTATTTTATCATTTATTACCATAAAATATATACAGCTCTGTTGTGAAAACTTAATCAGAACTTACACACACAGAGACAATACATGGTGCCATGTGTGTTGAGATAAATATAAACAGGCTGGGCTCAGTGGCTCATGCCTGTAATCCCAGCACTTTGGGTGGTCAAGGCGGGTGGGTCACTTGAGGTTGGGAGGTCAAGACTAGCATGACCAACGTGGAGAAACCCCGTCTCTACTAAAACAAAAATTAGCCGGGTGTGGAGGCTCATGCTTGTAATCCCAGTTACTCCGGAGGTTGAGGCAGGAGAATCCCTTGAACCTCAGAGGCAGAGGTTGGGGTGAGCCGAGATCAGCTCATTGCACTACAGTCTGGGTGACAGAGCCAGACTCTGTCATATATATATACATATATATAGCACCATGTATGGTCTCTGTGTGTGTAAGTGCTGATTAAGTTTTTACAACAAAGTTGTGTATATGGTAATAAATAATAAAATGCACTAGTATCTACATTTTTTTACATTCATGATGTAACCTCATTTTTCTTTCTTATATACGCATATATATGACAGAGCCAGACCGTCTTAAAAATATATACATAAATAAATGAATATTCAGTATTAATTCATAACTGTAAAATTAATGATAATGCATACTGCGCTATCGTAAGAATTTTGTAGCTCTCTCATGTTGCTATTGCGGTGACTTCAAATGTGCCCCACGTCCCCTGAAAAGCCTGGGGGACACTACTCCACGTAAGCAAGATTTCTCTTCCGTAAATTGTGAATTGCAGCAAATAGCAATCTTTCGGGTTCTCGGGTATTTTTCCTCGTGTCTAGTGCAATATCATAAAGCTTAAATAACACCATAGAACCCATAAGGAAGTGTCTCTACTGGTGTTTTAAGTATTCCCAAGAAGCAGAGAAATTGTCATGACGGTACAAAAAAAAAGCTTGAGTTGCTTGATGCATGTTGTAGATCGGCAGCAGCTTGCCTGCCATTCCAGACAGACTACTCTAGAGAATGCAGGAAGTAAACTTAAGGTATCCATAAATACAGTACAGTATTACAAGTGTATTTTCTCTTATTTATGATTTTCTTAAAAACATATTGTTCTCTCTGGCTTACTTTATTGTAAGAATACGATTATAGAATGTATGTAACAAACGAAACCTATGTTAATCAACTGGTTATGTTCAAGGGTCAACTGTACGTGTGTCTGTGTCTGGCCTCTGTATTCTGTACATAGATGTATTGTTCATAGCATCTCAAACATTTTCTATGATTAGGTCCCCGCACAACAGCCTGGATGACACAGTGAGACCTTGTTACTCAAAACTTAAAAAAACAAAAAGGATTTTTATTTATTTCTTTGGGCCCCGGCTTCATTTGGAGTTCAGCCACCAAGAGGAAACCTTCCTCTGGGTCCTGGCGTATTTGGCCTGGAACTGGGAATCTGCGAGTCGCTGCTCCCGGGCGCTCCCTGCGGAGCTCCGCGGCCCGCCTCTCCGCCCGCCTCTCCGCCCGCCTCTCCGCCCGCCTCTCCGCCCGCCTCTCCGCCCGCCTCTCCCCGCGCCCCCACGCGGGGCGCACCGCCCGCGCCTGCTCTGGGAGCCGTGAGCTGCCGCCGTCCCCATCCCGACGTGGACGGCACGATCACCCTCAAAGCGGACAGCCTGACCTACGGCGCCTCTCCCGACAGCCCGAGGCACGCGGGCGACGTGCACGTCCCGTGGGAGCCCCACACCAAGGCGCCCCGGGTCTTTGCCTTCTTTCGCTTCCACGACCGGCGCGATGCGGAAGCTGCCGAGGCCGCGGTGGACGCTGCGGGGCTGGACCGATGGGAGCTGCGGGTGCAGGTGGCTCGCTATGGTCGCCGGGGGGCGCCACGCAGCTGGTCCCGGGGCGGCGGCTACGGACCGTGGAGCTGCAGACCCAGGAGGAGACACCACAGCCGATCTCGGGGTCCCAGCTGCTCCAGGTCCCTAAGCCAATCTCGCTACAGGAGGTCTTGCTACAGTCGCTTTCCCTACAGAGAATCTCCCTGCAGAGAATCTCACTACAGAGGATCTCCCTACAGAGGATCTCCCTACAGAAGATCTCACTACAGAGGATCTCCCTACAGAGGATCTCCTTACAGAGGATCTCCTTACAGCCGATCTCCCTACAGAGGATCACACTACAACTGGTCTCTCTACAGAGGATCTCACTGTAGAGGATCCCCTTACAGCCAATCTCCATACAGACGACCTTCCCTACAGAGGATCAGCCTACAGAGGATAACCCTGACAGTGTATCTCCCTACAACCGATCTCCCTACAGCCAATCTCCCTACAGAGAATCTCACTACAACCGATCTCCCTACGGCACATCATCCTCCAGACGATCTTACAGGGGATCTCACTACAGCCGATCTCCCGCCAGAAGATCTCCCTACAGCCGATCTCCCTACAGACGATCTCCTTACAGAACTCGCTGTAGCTGATCTCCCTCCAGTCGATCTTACAGCCGGCCTCACTGCAGCTGATCTCACTACACCCCTGTAGCTATGCAGGAAGTCTCCCTACATCTGGTCTGCCCACAACAGCTGCTCTCACTCGAAGTCTGGGTCTCCCTCTCGCTCCCCATCAGCCTCCAAATCCAGCTCTCCACAAACATCCAAATCCTCCTGGGTCTCCAGATCTTGCTCACTGTCCAGGTCTAGATCTATGTCCAGGAGTCTTCCCCCATATCTAAGAGGGAATCCAAGTCCAGGTTGCAATCCAAGAGTCCTCCCAAGTCACCTGAAGGGGAAGGACAAGTGTCCTCCTAGGAAAATGATAAGGTCCATATCCTCTGTGTGCCATGGAAAGGTGGTTTTCCCCATGCCAAAGTATAGGTAGGGTCTCTTCTATGACAACCTCACATTCCTGCTCCAGAAAGTCCTAAATTGTTCCCACATGTCCAGGATTCCATTGTTTACTGTTTTCATCAAACAGGGGTCTGCTGTTTTTCCAGTATTTTCATTATATATCTTCAAATTTCTGGTGTGGTCAAGCCCTATATATTTCAGAATATTTGAAAACAAATGTGTGACAAGCAAAATACTGAGTTTTAATGCTACCTTAGTAGCTGAGAGACGCCACGCAGTCTTCAACCACAGCTTCAACCGTACAGAGACCATCAGTTCCACTACCCAGGATGGATTGATTATGGCAGATTGGTATGGTGTGTTAATATCAGGATTTAAGGTCAAATCATAACATAGATAGAAGAGTATCTCATTGAACTGAAAGAATTTTCTATCAATGATGTACTTATTTTAAAACATGAATTTTTTCTTTTTTTCATTTTAAAGGCCTAGGTATACTATGAATGAAGATGTCGTACAATTCCTCTGTGAATTTGTCTAATTCTTGTCATTTTTGTATAGGCAGATCTTCTGTCATCTTTCTGTATTTCATACACAGAAATTTATGTCTTAAATTCTCTGTTTAGGAAGTTAACTTTTCTAACAAAAAAATCCGTATCATTGGTGCTTTGTGTTGATTTAGTATATTGTTTTACAGTTATTCTAACTCATTAATTCCTGTATATAGGTGCATCAGTTCCTTCCAGCTCCTTTCAGTTTATCTTTTCCTAACTTGGACATTAGAAATTAAATCTAGCTAATTCATTCTTTGTATGTGATGGAGAAAATACTTAAGGCTGCAGATTTTCCTCACCACTATTATAGATGAATCTTATATATTCCTTTATGTATTTTATTAAGTTTTAAATCCAGATACACTTCAATAATGCTTGTGTGCCAAGCATTGATATTAACAAATTGCATATATTAATTCAAAGAACTGTCAATTGAACACATGAGGTAGGTGCTATCTTCATTTTATGTTGAGGAAACTGAGTGGTAAGTTTAAGTAAATTTCAAGTTCACAAATCAGGCTTTCTTGCTGTAGAATTTATGCATGTAATAGATATTTATTGTTTTGTGAAAATTTGGCTTTTTTGGCACTTGAAGAGAGAAGTATTTTTTATCATCTAGTATGTCAATACTACCTTGTTGTTAATATAGTTTAAATTTTCCATATCCTTAGATTTCTCCATTTTTTCTGCTTTGAGTGGGTGACTGTTTAATTCACACATTGCTGTAAAGAAATACTTGGAGCCCAGGTGCGGTGCCTCATTTCTATAATCCCAGCACTTTGGGATGTCAAGGCAGGCAGATCACCTGAGGTAATGAGTTCGAAACCAGCCTGGCCAGCATGATGAAACCCCCCATCTCCAACTAAAAATACAAAAACTAGCTGGGTGTAGTGGCAGGTGCCAGTAATCCAAGTAATCCCAACTACTCAGGAGGCTGAGGCAGGTGAATCTGTTGAACCCAGAAGGCAGAAGTTACAGTGAGCTAAGATTGAACCATTGCCCTCCAGCCTGGGCAAGAGGGAAACTATCTCAAGAAAAAAAAAAATCCCTGAGATTGGGTAAATTATAAAGATGAGAGTTTTAATTAGCTCATGGTTTGCAGGCTGTACAGGAAGCATAAGAGCTGCTGCTTCCGAGGAAGCCTCAGGAAATTTGCAATTATGGTGAAAGGGGAAGCAGGCACATCATATATAGCTGGGGCAGGAGGAAGAGAGAAGGGGAAGGTGGTACACACTTTTAAACAACCAGATCCTCCTAGAACTCTATCACAAGAGCAGCATTATGGGGACAGTGCTAAATCATTCATGACAAACCACCCCCGTGATGCAGTCATCTCCCTCTAGGCCGCACCTCCAACATTAGAGATTAAAATTCCACATGAGATTTGGGCAGGAACACATATCCAAACCATCCTGGTGACTTAAGTGTTCCTGTTTTTAAACTGCTTCTTTAAACTTGTCTTTTATCTACTATAATTTATACTTCATCAAACTTACTTGAATATTTATGACTGTTATAATTTCATTGTGAAATTTCGTCTTTTGCATTGTAAAGATCCACGCTGTATACCTTTGGTCTCAATCCAGGTTTGCCGGATATAAACTCTGTGACTCTACTTTTATGTTAGTTCTTTGCTTGCTATAATTTTTCACATTCCTTTATCTCATTTTTCCACATCACTTTCTTTTTGGTATATCCTTTTTATGTAATTCTAATTTTAAGAACATGTAGTAAAAATGTTCTTTACTTTACAGATATACACTAGAGATAAAAAATTTAATGATCATCAGCAACATTACCAAATATCTCTGAGGCCTCGACTGGGTAACAGACTCAGTTGGTCTAAAGGTCTAGTTTGCGCATATGCATGGGATCTGGACCCACAGCACAGTAAGGGAAGTATCCTGAGGGGACTTCAGCAACGAGTGCTGTCCATGGCATCTGGGCCATGGTGAAGGTCACAGGCACAATGATCAGGAGCAGATAGAGAGTCCTTGAGAGGTACTACAAAAACCTATGGCAACCTTTGGGGAGGGGACTTTGGTGGCCGCTGGGAGCCCTGGCTGTCACAGTAGGAGACAGCATCCAGGGGTCTTGGAAATGTGTCACTTATTGGAGGGAAATAATCTTCACTGGGGAGAGGCCCAGGCCAGAATTCTTGGCAAGAATCTTCTCTGGTTCCTGGGGTTGGGATGAGAGGAAGGTATCACTTGACGTTTGGCACCATATTCAATAGCCATGGGTTCAGAGGACTGATCATGCTTTGGAGGAAAATATCTCCAAATTCAGTGGCATATCTCTGTCTGGCTTAAGCCCCAGCAGATGAGTCTGGGAAACAGAAGATTCTGGAAAATTTAGGTGAGACCAGAACCCTAGAGGCATAAGAGTGGTCCATTGCTGCAACCTTGGCAAGGTTGACCACGCATGCTGAAGGCCACCGCTCAAAGGTGCGGGTTTGTCCTTCAAAGCGTCATTAGTGAACTGGACCTGAGGTTTAAGGCCTCGAGGTCCACTCCCTGTCCCCAATGAGAGGTGTCTCTTGGCTGCAGACTGAACAGTTGTCTCCTCAGTCCCCAGTTTTTGAGGATGACAACAATGACCCTGATCATGACCACGACCTCAACCATGACCACAGCCACAAAAAGGATCCCACCTTGCAGTGGAAGGGTGAAGAACTTAGGCTGATGTCCCCAGGGTTTGTATTGTAAATTCAGGCACAGCATCAGTGCCAAGGCTCTTTGGGTTGTAACAGAGCCCTGCAGGCACAGTCTGTGTGGGACGGCTGGCTGTGTGGTTAGGGAGCTGCCTCAGGCCCAGAGCAGCTCTCCTAAGTGCTCTATCCTCCCTCCAGGTGCTCTCTTCCTGGATTTCTGCAACCTTGGGCTCCATGTGAACCACAAGGGCTGAAACTTACCTGCATTTTCAGAGCCCGTAGCTCTCTGGTTGCATGACGTACACGAAGGTGTCCATGCAAAAGGTCACTTTTGCCTCCCCACAGCTGCACTATGAAGCCACTTTGCCATAATCAATCCATCGTGGAGTGGCAAAGTTGATGGCCTCTGCACAGTTGAAGCCATGGTTGAAGCCTGCATGATAGCCATAGGGAAAGGTCACCATAAACTCCCCAGCCTCCTGAGTCACGCGATTGAACGGAATCTCGTTCTCTTTGAGAACGGCAGGGGAGATGAGGGCCACCTTGTGGCGCAGGAAGGCCTCACAGCCCCGGGAAATGGCTGGGAAAAGCTCACTGGCCAGGCGCTCCAGGCGCTGGCCATGTTCTGGGGGCACTGCGTACCATGTTTTGGGCCCCCCGAAGTGCAGGTAGTTGATGCTGTAAAGGTCCATGTCCTCCGTGTGCCAAGTGAACACGGTCTTCCCCATGCCAAAGTACAGGAAGAGGGTGTTGACGCCCTCGATGACAACCCCACATTCCTGCTCCAGCAGGTCCAGAATTGTTCCCAGGTGTCCTAGGTTCCACTGTGTAGTGTTTTCTTCAAATAAGGAGCCATTAATATCAGCACCATAAATTGGTGAATTACTGGGGTGGCTCTTCCAGTATTGTTGCTCCAAATCTTCAAAATTCCGGTGTGGTGGAGTCTGATATTTCTTACTGTTTGCCAAATGGCAATACTTCCTGACGGTCATGGCCTTCTTCTCTTTATGGTATTGAGTAAACACACCTCCCTGCCCAGAGGTCACCTGCTGGAGGGGAGTGGTGACTAAGATGTCTTCAATATCATCGTAGGTCTTTCTGGCTTTCCATTCCTTGGGTGGAATTACCTCGGCGAGGCCAGCTTGGTGTGCGCCTTGAGACTCCATGTAAGCAACATATTTGTTGAAATCTATAAATTCTTCCATGGTTGGGTAAAAAGTCGTAATGATACAACTCATGTTCTGGGGAACAGAGTGCACAGACTTCAGAGCTGTACAGAAGAAACAGCTGACTCACAAGTTCTTAGGCATCTAGATACATGAGAATGCTGAGGAATAATTTCCTTCTCCCCTTTACTTTTCAAAATGCTTTCATTTATCTGTGAGGCAGTAATTCAGAATTGAACTTTTGAACAAGTGAGATCTTTCCCAGGCTTTCTGACTTCCCAGGGGGACTCTGCTTTAGTCAGTATTTTTTTTGTCCAAAGAAAATAGAATATGTCATAGTGAGGCAGATGCCCCAGCTGGAGTCCCAGCTCCACTTCAGCTCTGTGGGTTTCCTCAGTTGGGGTTGTCTCTGTGAGGCTTCTCTTGATTCTCGGCCTTGGGTATGCAAGTAGCTGGTAACTCCACTGTACCTGGCCATCTCTTCTAGGAAATCTAAACAATACACCTAAACAACACCAAATAGAGAATATTTGAAAATTCATGTATGACCAGACAAAAGAAATACTCAGCAAGTATTAAGCTAAACTAAAGGATAAGCTGCGTTAATATCAAGTTTTAAGGTCAAATCATAAAACAGAAGAATGGGGTTTTTTTTTAGTAGAAACCCCGTCTCTACTAATATATATATATGTACAAAAATTAGCCAGGTGTGGTAGAGCACCTGTAATCCCAGCTACTCGGGATTTGCAAATATCCCTTTGCAAACTTGATCATTTTTCCTTTTAGTTTGATAGATGATCAAACTAAAAGGAAAAATGATCAAGTTTGCAAAGGGATGAACTGAGCACTCCACACAAGAAACTGGATGCATTAACATCAAAAGAAACAATGAAAATGAAGACACAAGCAGCAACCATTGCAAAAGGAAACTGAGCACCCAATAGGAATGATGACAAAAAACTAAAACTTGACTTTTCAAAAAG